AAAAGCGAGACATTGTATTAAGATATGTTGAGAAAGCATCAGTTTTGCTATTTATAACAAAATTTACTATATTATAGATAGATGGCTGTGAAATTAGTAAACATAATATTCTGTTGAAACGTTATTTACAGATTACTACAATTTTGAAAAAAAGTAGATTGCCTTACCAGTTTATCCAGGAGGCCGTTGGCGAAGGCGAGCTGCAAACAAAAACTCTCGAGTTCTAGCGATAGAAGAATGTTTATTTAAAACTCACGTGTTCTTTGAGGGCCTCGATGAGCTCCTCCTGGTCGCTGAGGTCGTCCAACAAGTCTTGGCATCTCAGCTGTCACCGTTAAGTCATTGGTTAGATATCTCACTATCTCTAACTTGATACTTAGTAACAAAGTACAGTTTGAATTAACTATTTTAAATATTCTAATATTTTAGAAATATGAATGCATCATCTTAGTTCTTTGATTTTATTGATTTTTTTCTCTTTTTATTGAGTTGTATCAGATTTTCGTTCAGAAATAAGCTATTGCTTACCCGCTGATATATATTTGTCCTCTAATATCTATGACACACAATATAAAATGTTTATTCTTTATAAATATATAAAATTTCCCAATTATAAATATATAATATCTCTCTCCTCTGATACAGATAATTAAACAATTTATTGAATATGGAAAATAATTTCGATTACACACACATGCACCATAGTTATGATTATAGATTCACCATTAAATTAAGAGAAAAAAATGCATATTTAGTTTTTAAAGTTATTTGAAATAATTCGAAAAAGTAACTTTCACTTAAATATTTGTACTTTATCTTATTCAGTATGTGAACATGAGCCCTGGTAAAATAGAGAATAATGATATTTACATATGGATATTAAAATGTTTTCAATTTTCAAACGTTTGTTACACTCTTCATATGACAAAAATATCTGCGAACAATTTATATATATTGATTTGAAGCCTGAGAAGTTCTGAATATCAACTGGCATAGCATACAATTATCTTGTCATCAATTAGTACTAATATATAAAACAAGAGAATGTGGAACAAATGTCAAAGGTATTTGAAGAGGTTTCATGAATGAAACTATATACTTTTGAAAAATTTATATACTAGCTGAATAACTCAGCTTTAATCGAGTGAATGGGTATTCAATAACTATTGCTTCATATATTTAACAAATTTTAATATTCATGCTTACTTGTAATAACAATAGTTGTACCCTCTGATGTAAGACTACAAAATATCATAATCATTTGGGATAATTTGAATTTATTTTAATTTCAAAACAACCAATGTATTACATCGCAGTTCACTATTGTAGGTAGAATATTTAGATTTTGACTTAGAGTTTTTACTCAAAACTTTTGTTCACTTTGATTGAAGATTTAGGGCATTCATCAAAACTTACTTTAACTGATGGTACACATTTATAATTAATACATTATCATTCGGGTTCAGTGCAGAAATATTTCAAGCGCAGTATGGATATAATGCTCGCAGGTGTAGAGGTAGTAATAGCTTATTTAGAAGATATTCTAAAAACTTAATCCACCATGGAATAACATCATATACGATTTAAAACTTTGAGATGGTCACGCAGAGAATTCCATCCTTTTTAAGAGGCCAAGAAAACGTTGAGCTCGTATCAAGTGCTAATCATTTGATTTCAATAAATATTTAGTGTTAACTTGTGAAGCTTTTCAATAGGGGGTAGTGGCTATTTTAGCTCAGGTAGGAGAGAAAATGAGAACCTATAGCCTATGCCTAAAGGATTTTCACAAAAACAGAAAGAAACAATGCTCATATCAATAAAGAAGCATTACAATAATCTATGTGGCATAAACAAGTTCCACAAGAATCTATACGGAAGGAAACTCAAATTCATAGCTGATTATCAACCACTCACTCTTATGGATTTTTAGCTAATATAAACCTTCATTATAATTTTTGTCTCCCTGAATGACAAGAGGGAGTTTGACTTTATCATCATCACTTCACTGAATATCGACTAGGGAAAGAAGTCTAACATGCTGATGCACTGATCAGAATATCATTGAAGTCAGCAGACAATACAACTGAAGAAATAGCGGTTATGATGATTGATGTGGACGATATGCCACCACCCATCCAAGATGGAGGGCCGCAATACGGGATAGACTCCGACCCATTATTCGAGGACCTAGTTATCTTTTTTATTATTACTAGCCGAATGACCCGGGCAACGCCCAGGTTTTACCCGATTAAATGTTTTCATTCAAATACTATTCGTTACAATTATAAATTGGCGCCGTGGATGTCACTCTTGTGAAACGTCCCGCTCCAAACTTTGTGTCAGAGAAGCGATATTTTTATATAGAGATGATCGGGCTTTGTGTCTTCTGCTCGAATGAATGTTTTTCTGTTAGAATTTTGTTCCTGCACACTAAAAATGAACTGGCTTCACCCGTGGTCTCAGCTTTTTGGAATTTTTCCCGATATAATTTTGTATCTGATAATCAAACATGATACAGCATAATTGTCATCATCATTTTCTGACTAAAAAAACAACTATTTTTGCCCAGAACCTGTCAATTTTATTTTTTATTGGCTAAAAATCCGATAAATATCTTTTCCAGATTTTTCTCTATGTCCTGTCAAAACACGTTTAACATGTACATTAGGTGTTAGCTGATATTACCTCCCATCTTCACCGCTAGATGCGCTGCTTGCGAGCGATGACGCAAATTTGCAACGCAATTTGCAAATAACTCGAAGAATATTCGGGATAGAGACCTGACATTTTCACTATAAGTTTTTCCAGATTCTACTCTATATACTGTTAAAATTTCCCCAATACAGTCCATGATATGTGCTGGAGTTGCAGAGGAGTTGGAGCATTTTGAGCAGACAGGAAAAACCTTTTCTCCATCAATGAACATAATGGGTCTCTTATGTCCGGTCTTTAATCTTGCAATTTTTGTGACTTCGTTTCTAGAAAGCTGTGATAATATTGAGTCTCCAGGCCTTGTTCCTTAATACCAGTGATGGGCCATACTATTGATTTATTCTTTGGAAATATCTCTATTCAGTTTTATTTTGTATCCATCTATATTATCTATGTTTTCAGAAGGCAGGATAGCTGCTGACTTTGAGACCTAGTTATCTTAAAGACTATGAATTGTCTTAGAGGGAAGAAGTGTTGTGTATTAACATTCTTGGCAACACATTTTTGTTGCAATTCATAAAGTATTCACATATCATAATAAACCATGTTTATATATTTTGTAATCATTGATGTATAGCTTATAATTTAGTTCTAATAAAAACCTCTAATTTTTACACAATATATCGTGAATAAAACAAGTGACCTTTTGAATTATTTTATAATTTATTTATAAAAATGGAGACATTGAGCGAGAGAGAAAGGGGCATATTAAAGCAGGAATCCACACATCAGTAAAAATCTGTAATCTTTTAAAGTCCTAGAATTTATTTTTTTTTTTCAAATATTTTGCAAAACATTCAGAACCTATAAGAAATGATTGTTAACTAAATATTCAAATATGACCCAATTTCATTGCCGTAATTTAGATGAGCAAAAAGATAAGTTCTTACCTCTAGCGGAGATGGAACTTTTATTTCAATAATTGAGGGCACTTTAGAAGCTGAAAAACAAAGGGATATATAGACATGTTTATATTAATTTGAAAGTATGAAGAGAGGATCGCAAAATATTTCAATTAAAGTGTAATTTCAACCCATTACTTATGGTAACAGACAAATGATAACACAACTCCATTACCCATCACCAAACCCATCCATAAACTGAAATCAAAAGTAAATTGGTTTACAAAATTCCGTGTAGATCCTGCAATATAGGCGAAACAGGAAAACCCTTAGAAAAACAAATGAAGCAAACAGGTTGGGGACATACAAAATAATAGATACCTTTCTTTACTAGTCAAATATTCCTTCATGAACAATATTTGTCTAAACTAAAAAATAGGAAAATCGTATATTCTAAAGAAAAAAATTCTAAAAACCTTGGCCGCCAGAGGAAAAGAACAGGATAAGTAAGAATATAAAATACACCACGATTGCATTCAGTTCTAAAATGGGGTTAAAAAATCCTACCAAAGGTCCATTTCAACAGAGACTCATGTATGATTCTTTAACTACTCAAAATATAGAGTTATTTTGTGATGTGAATAAAACATTTTGAAAAAATCCCAATTTTGCCTTATTATTTCATCATGTCAATACTATTTACAGATATCATTTTAGTGTTTTACCCATTAGAAATACAATTTATATATGCACAGAAATTTAAAATGTATATTAGAGTTTCATAAAAGAGTAATATTAACCTGTACCTTGATGTACTGCAGCTTAGAGATACAGTGAAGTCAATGGGCGACTACCTCTTTGAGCGACCATTTTCATCAGACGCCAAAACGATCTATTCTGATGAACGAGTATCTCCAAGAGCAATTATGAGTAAGTGTCTTTACAGGCGGTCGCTCATGAGAGACAACTGTATTCATTATTGCGCCACCTTTATATCGTTTAGTAAAAATATTACCCTATCAAATGCGAATTTAAAAAAATGGTTTTTCATATTTGCTATTATGGAATTTCTGTTCAACAGTAGTTCGCATG